ATTAAAACACTTTAAAACGTGCCCAAAAAACGGCATAATGGGAATTATGCTACTTTTTCAGGGTTTTAATTTCAAATAGTTATTTTAAGCAATAGTCACGTCAGCTACTTACACCTGCAGTTTGCTTGGCGTCGAATTTTCGATGGCAATCTTCAGCAAAGTGTCGTAGATGGTATCTCTTGTGAGATAGGAGAAGTCCAGGAGTTGCATACACATCTGATGCAGTGGTTTTGCAGGAAGCAGGCAGCCGTTGTGTCCTAGCACAGGGATCACAATCAGCCACACGTTTGAGTCATTAAACTGAACTAGAAAGAAGCGTTAGTTACTGTAAGCGAGGGATGAAGGCTGCTGGTGACAACTGCCCTTTGTTTCCCAATGCCACAGGCTTTCTCGCTCTCAGTATGATTTCACGCATTCTGAAATCCAGGTTATCAGACCTGGGCAAAGAAAATGGTAAGTCATTGCAGAAATGCGGCCTTACACTAGGTTTGGGGGTTTTAAACTCTTAAGTCTTTTCCTGATGGCGTCACGGCTGGCTGTCCAACAACATCCATCAGATTCCACTAAGGACAAAGTTCTCATCCGAAAAGTAAAGCCCTGGACAATCTGAAAAGTTTCAGGTGCCTTCACAGCATGCAAAAGTCTGTAACGCGAGACATTTTGGTTCAGAGCAGTACTAGCTCTGTTACACTTTTAAAATTAAAAAAGTCTTTCCCACTCTCTCCTATGAATACTCTTACCTAAAACCTCTAGGAGCAATTCCACGTAAGCCAAAGGAGTCGACACGTTGATCTGGAAGCGCAGGGTTTTTAAAACGGCAAGCTCCGACTCAAGCAACTCCTGTTTAGTGTAGGAGTATTTTAAGGACTGCAGGAATTTTAAAGCTGTGTCACTGTTAACTATCTGAAGAGGGGAAAAAAAGACAAGTTATCTTCCAGGCAATAAGGCCCTTGCTAAGGACAAACTATTTCCTTGCCTTACTCCTCCCGCTGGATTTAAGCGCGAGCCATGCAGCGGTGACGCTGCCCGCTAACCCAGCTGTCCAACTCGGCTCTTACGCTGGTGGAGAAATCCAGCTCGGACCTTCTTTCCCGTAGGTTTCCTCTGCCCCACGCACCTTCCCCAGACGGGAGCGAACCCTCCCTAGCCACACAATTCTCGACAAAGACAGGCTGAGTTTTCCCACTGCCTGTACTTCTTCCCCCAGTGCCGAGAACGTTTCCTGACAAATTGTTACTTGATGATTAATCTGCCCTAAAGAGAAGGGATTTAGCTCTGCATTTCAATATCCTTTGCATTTCATTACCACTATTGTCTTTCGGAGAAGAAATCTATTTTTTAAGAGAGATTGATATACCACACAATTTACTACACTGCTGAAAAAATGCCATAGGGAGAAGGTTTAGCTAGCTTACGTTATAGTGTAAGGAAAGTTTGCTTGCAAGCTGAACACACGACACAAGTCGCAGGACAAACGTGTCGTATATCTGATCTTTCAGAGCGCTCCAGCTGCTGCCTTGTCCTTGTTCACAACTTTTAACGTTCTCTCCGGAGGACTTACAGATTTGTTCTACTTGCTTGATCAGAAACCTACAAAAACCACAACTGCTCAGAAAACAGTTCTCTTCTGCTAAAAAAAAGGAAGAAAAGCAATTCTGCGTGTACTCAGAATACACAAAGAGCTATTAATTTGAATTACATGAGTAAAGAGACAAAGCTCTAGACACACGGAAAACCATTACACATTGTTTGAATGAGGGGCATAGAGCATGCACAGCGTATCCACGCGAGAGAAACGAGAAATGCATCGAGCATTCAGAATATTTATTACCTTTCAAGTAACTCCACTGCTTGGTACCTTGCCGATTGGTCCAAGTGCCATTTTTCAGACAAAAGGAAGATAAATTCTGCAAAAAAAAAGCACAGGAGTCATTCATTTCAGTCAACTGAAGCTAATTACACAGCTGTTAACCATCCCAGGAGTTAGCTATAGTTGAGAAAAAGAGCCTCACCCACTATCTGTGTCTCTTTGAAGCATCCAGCCTGATCCGACAGCTCGCTCAGGTACTGTTCGTTTTCCGTGGCCAAATGGATCAGCGTATCCTCAATGATCTCCGGAGCGATCTCGCCGAAGATGGGGCCTGGGTCACGGCACCGGGACGCTGCTGGCGCCTGGGACCCCATTTATCCGTTCAGCTCAGAGACCGTAAGGACAAGAATTACCTCAACGGCACCACGGCGCTTCATCACCACCGGCGGGGAAGGGCCCCGAGCGCCCCTGCCATGGCCACGCTGGGGCTCCGGGGCCGGCCGGCACCACGGGGGAGCCACCA